CCCAAATCTAAAGACCATAGTTCACAGATTAGTCTTTCAAGTAAAAACAGCGTTCTATGAAGAAAGCAGCTAGTTAGCTTGTAATTCAATCAGTACTTTTCCTTGAGACACCATTGTGTTTCAATATATAGCTGAAGTACATAATGAGTATTTCCCATTTTATCACACAAAATATTCAAAAGCCATGTTCTGAAAGGTCAAAATTATATAAAATTCATTCTTACTGCTTCATAAAGAACATCCTTAGTGAAACTAGATCATTTTTTTTCCTGAAGTTTAAATGTATGGCAATGAAGAATACAATGACTACTTGTATAGTTTGGTGCTACTGTTTTGATTCATGCTAAGGCACCAGCAGTTTTACTCACTATTGATTTTAGATCATCAGCGCAAATGTCAACACAGTGAAAAAAGGCAAAAATGCTTTTGTATTATTATGAAATAGTTTTGATCGCAGGACTCTCTGAAAGGATCTAGGGCAGCCGTGGGCAAACTACGGCCCACGGGCCGGATTCGGCCCGTTTGAAATGAATAAAACTAAAAAAAAAAAAAAAAAAGACCGTACCCTTTTATGTAATGATGTTTACTTTGAATTTATATTAGTTCACACAAATACTCCATCCATGCTTTTGTTCCGGCCCTCGGTCCAGTTTAAGAACCCATTGTGGCCCTCGAGTCAAAAAGTTTGCCCACCCCTGATCTAGGGGAATCCCCAGGAGTCACAGACCACATGGGAAACTGCTTCCATACTCTAATATACTTGTTTAATAGGTAACCCACCAATTAATATTATTTTCCAGGTTTAATGCAAACTACTTGGTAGCAAACCTTCTTTCTTTATATTTCCCTTTAATACCCACTACTATGAAATGTTCCTAAGAGACTACATAAGCATTATTATTGCCTAACCAACTCCAAATCGTAAATACTTTCCCTCAACTGTTATCAGCTATAATGGGCCCTCTTCTTACTATTCCCAAAGCTACACAATTCCATTCCTACAAATCTGAAATGATTAATTCCTTCTGGTCCATTTAAATGTCTATTTTAATTACTTCCCTTTTGATTTCTAGAATTTCTTCCTGGCTCACTCTTCTAGAAAAAAAAAAAAAAAGAAGACTCTTGATCTACACCAGGGGTCTGGAAAACTTTTCTATAAAGAACCACACAGTAAATATTTCAGACTTTGTGGGCCAACTACTAAACTCTGCTGTTATGAGCAAATGAGTGTGGCTATGTTCCAATAAAACTTTACAGAAACAGGCAGTGGCTGTAGTTTGCTGATTCCAGACTTTCAACTTATACGTCAATCAATCAAATCTAACTCAAAAGATCTGCCCACAGTAAAATAAGGAGGTAGCCACAGATTGGTTAAAAGAAACTAATACAAACAGTGAAAACAGTAGTAAACAAACCCAATAGCAAGGAATATTACTAATAACTAACATTCAGTGAGCTCTTATTATTTGCTAGGCACTGTGCTAAAATGCTCTACAAAGGCACTATCTCATTTAAGCCCTTAGAAAGGGCTTTAAGCCCTAACCGGTTTGGCTCAGTGGATAGAGTGTCAGCCTGCGGACTGAAGGGTCCCGGGTTCGATTCCAGTCAAGGGCACGTACCTTGGCTGCGGGCACATCCCCAGTAGGGGGTGTGCAGGAGGCAGCTGATGGATGTTTCTCGCTCATCGATGTTTCTAACTCTCTATCCCTCTCCCTTTCTCTCTGTAAAAAAAATCAATAAAAAATATTTTTAGCCGAAACCAGTTTGGCTCAGTGTATAGAGCGTCGGCCTGCGGACTGCAAGGTCCCGGGTTCGATTCCGGTCGAGGGCATGTACCTTGGTTGCGGGCACATCCCCAGTGGGGGGGTGTGCAGGAGGCAGCTGATCGATGTTTCTCTCTCATCGATGTTTCTGACTATCTATCTCTCTCCCTTCCTCTCTGTAAAAAATCAATAAAATATATTTAAAAAAAAAAAAAAAGAAACCTATCAGTCCAATAAGCAAGCATCATACAGACAGAATCTTAAATTAAGAGAGAATGGTGCCCTAGCTGGTTTGGCTCAGTGGATAGAGCATTGGCCTATGAAATGAAGAGTCCCAGATTCCATTCCGGTCAAGGGCACATCCCTGGTCTGGGGGCTCGATTCCCAGTAGGAGGAGTGTGGGAGGCAGCCAATCAATGATTCTCTCATCACTGATGTTTCTCTCTCCCTTCCTCTCTGAAATCAACAAAAATATATTTAAAAAAAGAGAAGATGGTAAGGAATGAAATAATCCTTACATCTTCCCTTCCCTTTATAGTCAATGTAAACCAGTATAAAAGGTAAGATATGACAATACCACACATATAACACATGTAAAATGGCGCCCATGGCATTACCAAATAATAGTATAAGAAAACAATATCAATTCAAAAAGGTAATTATTACTTCTAAGAATTAGCGAATCTCACAACTCTGACTGTATCTTCTAGCCTTCTAGGTTTCAGGTATATGGGACTGTTGCAGTTTGGTCTTTTAGTATTCATCTGACTGCAAAATGATCTCCCTTAATTCATTGATAAAGGAAACTTGAAAGAGTAGGCTCCAGCTACTCAGGGTGGGGAAATATCTGGGGCAGTCTAGGGAATAAGCAATCCAGCCACTCTGGTAAATCCATCTGCCAACCCATAAAAAAAGCATAACATCATTAAGTACCTCCTAACACTTGCACCAAAACTGAAAAATATATATCTATTCAAAGATTGTTGCTTGTGAAAATGTAGCTAGAACAAAAATTCATAACCAAAACATCAAATTAAGGCGCTACCTCCAGACTACAACCTGACAAACCTTATTATAAGATAAACTAGTTCAAAAGTTCCCTCCCATGCTAAGCTCTCCATACCTAATTATTGCATTATTCTGAATGGTCAGACAGGGGCAAAAATAAACTCTCATAAAACAACTGTTACAGTATGACTCTCTGTTATTCATTAATATACTTTATTTCACATTTCCACCTAACACAAGAGTTACTTCATTTATGTACCACACCTAGGAAGCACATAGAGAAATTAAGAAAAAGGGCACCATGGTAAATTGATGGTAAGCTGAAATATAATTTCTGAATGAATATTAGATTTCTAATAACCAATAAGAGATACATTTTTCCAACTGAATCCCAAAATTGTGTCACCTGCAATATCTGGAAGCTTAAATCTCTCTTTTTCCTTCTTTTCTTTTGTACAACTGTAACTTTGCAACAGATGGTGGAGAGGGGGGATTATGGCACTTTTATAATATTCTAAATAGAACAACAAGAAATAAAAGAAATAAGGGAAGGGGTGGGGAAGGCAGGTGAGGGCAAAGGGGGGGATAAATGGTGATGAAAAGAGACATGACTTGTGGTGGTGAACACACAATATACAAATGATGTATTATAGAACTGTACACCTTAAACCTATATAATTTTATTAACCAATGTAACCTCAAAAAATTCATTTAAAAAGGAAAGGAAAAAAAAAAAGAAATAAACAAGAAGCCCTGACCAAATAACTCAGTTGGTCGGTTGGTTGCAGCACTGTCCTGATACAACCAAGGTGTGGGTTTGATCCTGATCAGGGCACATATGAGAATCAGCCAATGAATGCTAAGTGGGACAGAAGATCGATTTCTCTCTTTCTCTCTCTCTGTCTCTCTCTCAAAACCAATCAATACTTTTTTTTTAAAGAAAGAAAAGAGAAAAAGGGGAAAACTTAAAGAAGTAGCTAATAGATATTTTTTTCTCTATTATTTGGCTTTTGTTTCTCCTTAAGAGCATCCTGTTGCCCACCCACCCTTGTACCCTTGGCAACCCTGAATGATTAAAAACAGTTTGGAGCCTAACCGGTTTGGCTCAGTGGATGGAGCGTCGGCCTGCGGACTGAAAGGTCCCAGGTTCGATTCCAGTCATAGGGCATGTGCCTTGGTTGCGGGCACATCCCCAGTGGGGGCTGTGCAGGAGGCAGCTGTTCGATGTTTCTCTCTCACTGATGTTTCTGACTCTCTATCCCTCTCCCTTCCTCTCTGTAAGAAAATCAATAAAATATATTAAAAAAAAAAATTTGGAGAGAAATAAAAATATCTTAACAAATTACAGCTGTTAAATCCAGGAGGCATTTCTCTTCTAGTCACCCCTCTTCTTCAAATAAACATACCTCTAAATGGGGGCAGGAAGAAGAGATAGAAAACAAACTGCTTCACCTCCCAAGAGTTACTACTTCCACTAGGAACATGGTCACTACCACTGGAACAGAAAAGCTCTCTTTCACATATTGCTACAACACAAATTTTTTTTTTTTAAAGACAGCAAGTAAAAAAGTGTGTGTATGTATGTGTGTGTCAAAAGGATCTTTTTCTTGCCCTAATAAGCCTTCCCCTTTTCCTTGTCCATCAGCCCAAGTAAGCAGAGATGACGCAGACTTCCTTATATAATAGCCTGTGATTTCCTAGACTGCAGGCCTTTCCCTTTGTGTTCTGTATACACATACACACAGGAGTGCACATATTCTCATTGCTTTGCAGCCACTGGCATGATGCCAGCACTCAGTCAGCTGGTTGATTCCATTCACAGAGCAGGGTTGGAGCTGACATGGAAAAGGGAGGGGGTGGGTAGTGAGGGTAAGGGGGAACTAGAACCATCATTGCTACAGACAAAAGAAAAATTTTTTTAAAAAAAGAAAACCTTAGCATAATATTCCTCTTACAGCTTTAGCTCAAAGAAAACTAGAAGCCAGAGACCATTATAGCAAAAGGATGAAGCACAAGGGTTGAGGATCCAAACCGAAAGCTTTTTATGAGAAACAATTACTCCTCAACAAATTTTAAAAAGCAAAAGTATGTATTACTTCACTCTCATCAGAAACCTCGGCATATCATCTCTACACATAGGAAAAGGCTGTGAGAAATTTAGAACAATTTTGAGTTTTTGCTTTTAGAAAAAAAAGGGGGAGGGGGAGCAAGACAGTTAAAAGTACTTACAGGTATACATTTTTCTGCTCCCTCCTCTAGCTGCCAGGAAAGCTGGAGACAAGAAAAGGGGGGATACAGAAAAAGGAGGAAAAGAGGAATAAGAGATGGGATTGGGTTTTGGTTTTGGTATTTTTTAGAGGGGGTAGAGAGGGAAGGTTCCCTTTATATTTTCTATCATACGGCACAGAGTGGCCCCATACGTGCCAGCCCCCTCGAGAGACCTGCACAAACCCAGTCTCTCCAAGCGGGCACTGCCCTGCCAATCACATGGCGTACTGTTATATTAAACAAAAGAAACAAGGGGATGCTTACTTTTACCCATGATGCCTAGCGGGGGCAGGGGAGGGGGGGGAGAAAAACCAGTTGTAGCCGGTTTATAACCTCAGGACATAGAATTATCTCTTAATTTTTTAAAGTCATTTGTGATACACAAAAAAAAAATCAGTCTCCCCACCCTAACTCCCTCCCACCCCCGCCCCCAATTATTCTGGCCTAGTGCCAAACTTTGCCTTCATTCGTGGGAGCTAGTTTCCTCTCAAATCATGATGCTTTAACTGTTTAGTTTCCAAAGCCAACATCCAAGACAGGAAATGACTGCATCAATACCAAAACATACCTCAAATAATAATTAAAAAAAAGACATATTGCCAACCAAGCTCTCTTTCTTTATCCTTTATTGCTAGTGCTAGAGAGCAGACACCAGGTATGATAGTAGATGTGTTCATTAAAGATTTTTTCCTGTAGTTGTCCCACACACAGCTTAGGGCAGTTGAATCCATATCTAATACAAATTAAAGCAAGCTTTCACAGAAAAGTAGTCATGACAGTATATGCACACTATAGCCCTAACTGGTTTGGCTCAGTGGATAGAGTGTCGGCCTATGGACTGAAGGGTCCCAGGTTCAATTCTGGTCAAGGGCATATACCTTGGTTGCGGGCACATCCCCAGTAGGGAGTGTGCAGAAGGCAGCTGAATTGATGTTTCTCTCTCATCAATGTTTCTAACTCTCTATCCCTCTCCCTTCCTCTCTATAAAAAAATCAATAAAATATATTTTTTAAAAAATGGCTTAGGTCCTTCTTATGTATGTATTTACAGCAACTTAAAAATAAGAATAAATTTTAAATGGCTTAGGCCCAGCCATGATATGGTTACAAAATTATTTTATTTTTGTGTCCTATCTAGAACCTTTTTCCTCTTCATATTCCTTACCCATTGTAATCATTTACCACACATATCCTTACTAGAGGCCCGGTGCATGGATTTGTGCACGGGTGGGGTCCCTCAGCATGGCCTGTGCCCTCTCATAATCCCGGACCCCTCGGGGGGATGTCGGACTGCAGGGTTTTGGCCCAATCCCCGCAGGCCAGGTTGACTGGGCTGAAACCCAGCAGTCTGATATCCCCCTAAGGGATGCAGCAGTGCCAAAGTGGCAGGCATCTAGGGAGGAGCCCCAGCCGGGGCTGGGCGCAGCTCTGCTGCCACTCATCCCGGCCCTGCTGCGCCTCCTCTGCAGTCTGGTAGCGCTGCCATGGAGGCGGGAGAGGCTCCCACTGCGGCAGCTGCATACCAGTCCTGAGCTGGATTCTGGCTAAGTGGTGCTCCCACTGTGGGAGCACACTGACCACCAGGCAGCAGCTCCTGTGTCAAGCATCTGCCCCCTGGTGGTCAGTGCATTTCATAGAAACCAGTCAACTGGCCGTTCCGGTCGTTAGGTCGCAACCGTCGCTTAGGGTTTTATATATATAGATGTCATTCTATAGACAGATCAAGATTGTAGACAGAACTTAGAAGACAGAACCTACACAGAACCTAGAGACAGAAGAACTTCGCTGGAGAGAACATGGCAAAAGATCCTGGACAGAAACTGGCCACAGAACCTAGAGACAGAACCTAGCGAGAGAACCTGGCTGAAGAACCTAGAGACAGAACCTGGCTACAGAACCTGGATAGAACATGGCAAGAGAAACTGACTAGAACCTGGTGACTGAACCTGGCTGGAGAACCTAGTAAGGGAACATGGCTACAGAACCTGGCTGGAGAACCTAGCAAGAGAACATGGACACAGAACCTGGCTGGAGATCCTAACCAGAACTTCGCTGGAGATCCAGACCAGAACTTGGCTGGAGATCCTGGCTAGAGATCCTGGCTAGGCTGCTGATCAACTGAACGCTGTCTCCATGTCATTCCTTCTTCGCCGACTCCATCCACACCTTTGGGGACCCCTGGACCTGTGGGCCCAGTAACATCTGATTTCAATTTACAATCTATAAAGACTTCATCCAATTAGGATAATCACAATATATAGCAGTAGAAACATTTTGCATGCTCTTAAGTTAAGTAAATGCTAGGATCCTACTATCTTAATATTCTTTACCTAAAAAGTGATTTCTGAGACTTAAAAAAAATTTGAAATTTAATATTAAGCATTTAACTCTTTGTATTTAAGAAAAATATATATATTTGAATTAATTACATGTGACATATAGACTTTATAATTACCATTGATTTTATAATAAAATATGAAAAGATTATAGATACATAAAAAAAAAAAAAAAAAAAGATTGTAGACATATCTGAGCCTAGCCTCCTGATCAACCTTCCTTTTCCTGTTTTAGAGCAACTGTCTCCAATCACTTTATAAGACATTTTCCTTTCCCAAAAGTACTTAGGAGGGGTCTGAAACTAGTGAGGAAGAAATTCAAGCAAACCAAAGAGCTAAGGCAGTGGTAATTGTTTCGAGATTTACTGGCTGGAGACTTTAACTCTACAATCTTTGTCTGTTTGAGGGAATATGTTCTATATAAATAGTAACAAGGAATAACTAGGGGGCAGGGGAGATTTCCTTACTTTTCAATTGATCTCTCTTATCAACATACCACCCAAATGACTGCCTCATTTGGGCCTCTGAAAGTCAAATCACAATTGTACTTACTCCATCAGAATCTCTCAAACACTTGCTTTTTCCAAAAACTAAAGCTTCTAGAATCTATAGAATATAGAGGAAAAAAAAATCAACATCCTATCCAAAAATATTAATTTGTAAATAAAAGCTTTCCTGAGCAATTTAATACTAACTTCAATTTTCAGAAAATGAATACTGACCTAAATCTGAAATAGACAGCATTGGCCACTTGCATAAAGCATTCAATAATTTACAAACTACAACGGAAAACGCTACATCTATACCAAGGTAAGCTGCAAGTTGTTGATGTACCGCCTCAGTCACAGTAAGTGGTACTTAACAGGAGCCCATTAGAGATCTTTAGATCTAGGTACTGTTATCATTTTAGGAGATAAATGGGGGGGAAATGATGCCTGTAACATATGGGGGCAAAGAAAATAATCCATTTTCCTCTTACTCAAAACATTTCCACAAGAGACCAACTATGAATTTTAAAATGAAGCTCACTAGTTCTATGTTTGATCAGGGGAGGGAAGAGTGTTTATCTTTTAACTAGAGGCCCAATGCATGAAATTCGTGCAAGAGTAGGCCCTCCTTCCCCGGGCTGCTGGCACCGGCTTCCCTCTGGCACCCGGGACCTGGGCATCCCTCACAGCCCTGGCTTCTTCTGGAAAGTTGTCTGGGAGGACATCCGGTCTAATTAGCATATTGTGCTTTCATTATTATAGATAATCATTCACAGATCATGCCCATTTAACTCCACTGAATACATTTGACTGCATTTAAACACTGGTCAATTTTTATCAGTCTTTAAGATAATATAAAAGGTTTAAATACAATTATGCTGTCACTAGTGATTACCATTAGGCATGCATTAATTCTCAAATAATTACATAGGATAAAGCATACACTATGTTTACTACAATAGAGTAAACTCTCAATTTCATGCACCTCGATTTAACAAACTTAGGATTTAACAGACAAAATACCAGCCTGTATGTCAAATTAACACTTAATTTTTTAAAATGCTTTTAACTAAGATTTGCTTATAATTAAATTAACAGCTTATTTTTTGTTATCAATTCACTGTTATTAACAAATTTTAGTGAGTAGGCCAAATGTTGGAAAAAACATTGTAGTAATTTCACCAAAATATTACCTATCTACAACTATAGTCTACATATTTAAATCCAAGAGTCACCACTCGTAAACAATGTTCTGTGAATGATTAGCACGTCATCACACTGCATCTCAATCGATAATTGGTTCTGTTGTCCCATGGTGTGACTTTCTGCAGCAGTTTTTTAAAAAAATATTCTTTTATGATTTCAGAGAGGAAGGGAGATATAGAAGCAGCAATGATGAGAATCAATTATCGGCTGCCTCCTGCATGCCCTCTACTGGGGATGGAGCCCACAACACAGGCACGTGCCCTGTTTGGGAATCAAATTATGACTTCCTGGTTTATGGGTCAACACTCAACCACTGAGCAACGCTGGCCAGGCTCTGCAGCAGTTTTGTGTGTTTTTTTAATTGATTTCAGAGAGGAAGGGAGAGGGAGAGGGAGAGAGAGACAGAAACATCAATGATGAGAAAGAATCATTGATCGGCTGCCTCCGGCACGCCCCCTACTGGGCATTGAGCCTGCAACATAGGCATATGCCCTTGACCGGAATCGAACCCGGGCATGCAGTAGTTTTAGCACATGCCATGGCCAGCCAACCTTCCCACATGTGCTAAGCCACACCCCAACCATGTGCATTTGTTTACTGGCAGTGACTGGTGAATGCACCCATTTACTACACCTATTCAGTATAAATTTAAAAATTACTGTAATACATATAAACTTTTCTTGTGAAATTAGACTTTTCATACATACTTAATTTTAATCACATAAACGTGTCTACATAAGTATAAACAGGTAAACTTGTCAACTTTTTACCATACATATTTGGAAAACCTACTTTATTATAAAACGGACTTTCGGCTTTAACAGACACCCCCCCTTACCCGAATCAGTCCATTATATTGAGGTTTTACTGTATCTGCTTCTGTATATTAAATTGATTAGTAGTCCAAAGGTACCAGAGGAGATGCTCTCAAACCAACAGGCACTTCTCTTCAGAATCCTGGAAAATTAAGAACTCTATGGTAGCCAGCAACCTTGTTCTTTTCAGCTAAATCATAATCACCCAAAATCAAAGGTACTTAACTGTGTGAACTGAAAAAGTGTAAACTTAAACACATTTCTCGGTAAATGGTACCCAAGATGTAATGCTCTGAAGAATATAAAGTTCTTTAAGGAAAAGAAAAAACCTAACATAGCCTTAGCATTTAATGCACTAAATATTTATTTAATCCACACAACAAACCAGGAAGGCAGGATTCTTTTCCTGTTTTATATTATGGATATTAACTTGGTGAAATTAAGAAATTTGAATGAAGTCACTCATTCAGTTAACAATAATAGAGGCTTGACTGAAAAGGCCATACTCGTTCCACTACATCATGATGATTTGAGCATTTCTAGTCAAAAACTCAAGAGCCCAGTTCACTAGGCTTGCCCTGCCAATCTCCACTCCACACCTTTGGGTTAAAGAAAATATAAGCCAAATACAACTGAAGTCATAAATACAAACTCTTTGCCTTGGCCAGTGTGGCTCAGTTGGTTGGTCCCATGCACTGAGAGGTTGCTGGTTCCATTCCCAGTTGGGGCACATGCCCAGGTTGCTGGTGGTTTGTTGCCGGCTCAAGAGGCAGCTGATCTTTTATTGCCATAATCACTTAAATAGGCCCTAATTATTGGAACAAGGTTTCTAAACCTCAGTTCTAGCAATTAACACTTTGGGCCAGATAATTCTTTGTTACGGGAAGCTGTCCTATGCAATGTAGAATGCTTAGCAGCGCCTCTGGCTTCTTATACACTAGATGCCAGTAGCACCACATCCGCCCAGTACTGAATACCAAAAATGTCCCTATACACAGCCAAATGTCCTCTGGGGGTCAAATCCTCCCAGTTGAGAATCAATATTAAACAACAACAACAACAATGTGATTTTACTAACAAGAAGGTCAGTGGTTATGATCACCAACAATTTCAACCCTAGAACACAAATACTACCAGAGGAAATGAGAATAGTAGTTACCTTTAGAGGTGAGGAAGGATAATGACTAGGAGGGAGCATGAAAAAACCTTCTGGGTCAGGGGTGGGCAAACTTTTTGACTCGAGGGCCACAATGGGTTCTTAAACTGGACCGGAGGGCCGGAACAAAAGCATGGATGGAGTGTTTGTGTGAACTAATATAAATTCAAAGTAAACATCATTACATAAAAGGGTACCGTCTTTTTTTTTTTTTAGTTTTATTCATTTCAAAAGGGCCACGGCTGTTCTGGGTGGAGGTATCTTCTATATTAGCGGTCGCCAACTGGTGGTCTGTGGACCATTGGTGGTCTGTGAGGTCCAAAAGGTTGGCGACCACTGTTCTATATCACTATCTAGGTCCCTTATAACACTTTCTTCTGTATGTATGTTATACCTCAGTAAAAAAAATAAGTTTACCCAACAATACAACAGCCTTGCCAATGTGGCTCAGTTGACTGAACGTCCTCCGATGCACTAGGAGGGTTGCCTGTTCTATTCTCCAGGTCAAGGCACATGCTCAGGTTGCAGGCTTAAACCCCAGCAGGGGACATGCAGAAAGCAACTGATTGATGTTTCTCTCTCATCAGTATTGTGTGCTCGCTCGCGCTCGCTCTCTCTCTCTCTCTCCCTTTCCCTTCCTCTCTCTCCCTTTCCCTTCCTCTCTCTGAAATCAATAAAACATATTTTTTAAAAATACAAAACAAAAATTGATAAGAAAGAGATGGTACTCCTTGCCTCAACGCTGCTAGAATTACAGAACTCAGACATCTGAAGGGCAGAAAGACAAATCCCTAAATATTTCTGAATAACACAATGATTTACCCTTGAATTCAAGATACTTGACAGTATTCAGGTGCTTCCTTTAGCCATCCAGCTTCAATTTCCCATTCCTTTTTACCTATAAAGCTTTCTAAGATTGATAATCACATCTGAGGTCAGGGTCGATGTATCCTGTTCAATGAGACTTTTATACCTTGACTTTGGAAGATTAAAAAGGCTCTTCAAAAACCCCTCCAATAGCCCTAGCTAGTTTGGCTCACTGGATAGTCAGCCTGCAGACTGAAGGGTCCCTGGTTCCATTCTGGTCAAGGGCACATGCCTGGGCTGCAGGCTCTATCCCCAGTAGGGGGCATGTAGGAGGCAGCCAATCAATGATTCTCTCTCATCATTGATATCTCTCTTTCTCCCTCTCCCCCTTCCTCTCTGAAATCAATAAAAATATATATAAAAAATAAATACTCAAAACTCTTACCTCTTTAAAAAAAAAGTTAAGAGACAACCTCCTTTAAAAAAACACCTCTAAGACATCCCTAGCCAATCTGGCTCAATGGTTAGAGTGTGGGCCCGTGGTCTGAAGGGTCATGGTTTCATTCTGGTCAAGGGTACCTTGTTTGCAGGCTCCACCTCCACCCAGGTCAGGGCACCTGCAGAAGGCAACCAATCAATGTGTCTCTCTCAGATCAATATTTCTATGTCTCTCCCTCTCCCTTCTATTCTCTCTAAAAATCAATGGAAAAATATCCTCGGGTGAGAATTAACAAAAATAAAATAGAACTGAATTCTCTACTCCAACAAATAGGGCAGGCAGATAAAGGGAATAATCTGAAAAAAATAAAAAGTAGGAGGGACCATAAACAGAATGGCTTGTGGACTTTAAGAGTGGGTAACAAAATTTTCAGACCAAGAAAGCAATTCCCAATATTACTAGAAATATTAGCCATAGAGGAATTTAGAAGATATTCCTGTATTCTATTTATACATCCATAAATTTCTTAGAGAAAAAATGTCATTAGACTAGATATTTTATGTTTCATTGCTTTTTATATCTAGGGCAACTTAATTAAGACACCTTTTAAAAAACATGTCTTAAAAAAACAAAACAAAACATGTTTTATTGATTTTTTTATTAGAGACAGAGGAAGGGATAGAAACATCAATTAAGCAAGCAACCTGTGCATGTGTCCACAACCATTGAGCCACACAAACTAGGCTAAGATACCTTTTCAAAGGGTCTTTTAAAAAGAGAAACTGGCTAAGCAAGCACTTCCAGTTAATTAAAAAATACTGTGGCTATGGCTTTGAGAACGAAATCAATATATCTTAGAACACTTTATAAGATAAAGAGCACTCAAATCATCTGACTTTGCCTCTTCTGTTTCTTCTAATATGATGAGAACAGAATAATCTTATGCAACCTGGGGAGACTGTGAATAAGAAAGAGAGTGCTACCTCAAATAGGATTACTTGACTTTTTGGTGCCAAGAGCCTCAGACTACCCAATGGAGTGCAAGGAAAAGATTAGTGCTTCTCAAGGAAATACTTAAGTCACTATTTTCCTACAAATAATTAAAATTATACCATGTTGCTCTGAAGTTGAAGCACTTGCTTAAGAAAAATTTCTTCTATGGAGACCCAGCATTATGTCTTTAAAACATGCCCATTTGCCGAAACCGGTTTGGCTCAGTGGATAGAGCGTCGGCCTGCGGACTGAAAGGTCCCAGGTTCGATTCCGGTCAAGGGCATGTACCTGGGTTGTGGGCACATCCCCAGTAGATGTGCAGGAGGTAGCTGATCGATGTTTCTCTCTCATCGATGTTTCTAACTCTCTATCCCTCTCTCTTCCTCTCTGTAAAAAATCAATAAAATATATTTAAAAAAAAACACAAAAACTCTTTTAAAAAATAAATAAATAAAATAAAACATGCCCATTATATTGCCCTGCTGGTGCGGCTCAGTGGTTGAGCATCAACCTCTGAACCAGGAGGTCACAGTTGGATTCCTGGTCTGGGCACTTGCCCAGGTTGTGGGCTCGATCCCCAGTATGGGGTGTGCAGGAAATAGCCGATCAATGATTCTCTCTCATCACTGATGTTTTTATTTCTCCCTCTCCCTTTCTCTCTGAAATCAATAAAAATATATTTTTTAAAAATTCTCTTAAAGTGGCCCTAACCTTATTTTATCCAAAAAATGAAGAATGTGAAGGGGAAAAAAGCCAACAATTTAAGTAGAAATCCTTTCCCCTTCATTAAAGCTTATTTAAAAGATACTCCCTTTTTTGTAAATCCTCACCCGAGGTTATTTCTTCCATTGATTTTTAGTGAGTGGGAGGGAGGGAAGGAAGGAGAGAGGAAGAGAGAGAAACATCCATGCGTGAGAGACACATCAACTGGCCGCCTATCGCACTTGCCCCTACCAGGGCTGGGGATGGAAGCTGCAACCCACGTATGCGCTTCTGACTGGGAATCAAACCTGAGACCCTTTCGTGTGGGGGCCAACGCTCTAACCCCTAAGCCACGCCAGGGCTAAAGATACTTCTTAAGCCAAGAGATAAAGGAAAATTCCAGAATTAACTTTCACCCCAAATATCAGAATCATAAGCTATCAACATTTTAAAATTAGAATCGCAGTTGCTTTCACTCAGGTTTAAACTATAAACAGGTCAGTAGTGATGATAAGACAACTGAAGTTTCCAGTTTCTTTTCCTCTTCATTTCCAAAAACCAAATTCAAGCAGTAAGGAATATAAAGATCAGCAGTGGATCTACATCTTTTAATCTATCAACAGAAGGAAATATCGTAGTAATCCAAAACTTAAAAGAAGTGATATTAACACGCCCAGAAGACAAGCTTTGCTTGCTGTTGGAAGTATAATGACATAAGAAGTAAACAAGACAACAATAAATTAATGAAACAGTCTCAAATGCTCTTTTAATCTCTAAGAAGATGGTAACTTTGAACACATCTCATGTCCTTGAATTAGTCAATTTCCTGTGAATCCTTAAGAATGTTTATGAAAACTAAGTCTGTTTCATTTTACTCCTGACAATAGGCCCCAAATATGGGATAAAAGAATATATATGGGGGGATAAGGACACATATGTAATACCTTAATCAATAAAGAAAAAAATAATAAATTTTTTTAAAAAAATAAAGGCTTAAATATAGATAGATAGATAGATAGATAGATAGATAGATAGATAGAAAGAACCACCAAAGGTACCCTACACAACACACTCTGACTCTACTCTGGGCGGTGAAAGCCTACTAGTAAGTTCTAAGTTCACTAAACAAAATGTAAATCTGAATAAAACAAATCACTTCTACCCTGAAAGCAGAGAAATGGGATAAGAGAAATACAAATAAGTGACCCACGACAAAGAAAAACTAGTCAGAAAGAAAATCTAAGTCATATAAGACATTTATTCATCTTAACCTCCCCATTCCCTGAAAACAGTATGACTCTGTGAATATAGCTATTAGCTCTCTGTCTCTGCCTATGGGGAGTTCAATAAGAACTCCAGGAAGGAGTTTCTATGTAAGCAGTCATCTGGAAACTATATATGCTCCTTACTCCTGAAGTTGTCCTGATTTAAAAAGACTATGGTGACAAGAAATCAATTTATCAAAACTTTTACATTTAGGTCAACAATTGAGAGGTTTGAGGGACCAATGCAATCAAGAAGAAAATTTTTCTTTTAAAATGCTTACTCTTCTTTCCAACAACTGGATACAGGCCAATAATCAAAATCCAGACATTTGCAAAAGAAAGGAAATGCTGATAAGGTACATGAGTGTTCCTAAGGACATTTGAAGATTGTTCTCATCACTGTCCACACTTACTTCCTTCCAATCAGATTTAAGTTGAGTTTTAGAAACTCTCATAGCCTGTTGGTATGAATGTAATTGGTACAAAGTTGGAAGATAATTTAATACTATCTAACAAAATTTTAGAAGTACAAGCCGTTGGGTCCAGTAATTATATTTCTAGGAATTTTATCTACAGGTATAGTAAAATGTGTAAAGACTGTGGATGAAAAAAGGGTCTATGGAAAGTAACCTCACAAAATTATCCTCCCATATAATAAAAGGCTAATATGCAAATTGTCCCCTTGACTGGGAGTTCGACCAGGGGGCAGGGCTGGCTGGCCAATCGCCCATAACCCCTCCCCCTGACCGGCCTGGCCCGATTGCCCAATAGGGGAGGGCCAGCCAGACCCCACCCATGCACGAATTCGTACACCAGACGCCTCTAGTCTGATTATGAATCCCTAACTGGGCAATTATTGTCAGTTTTGGTTCAAATAAACTTTTATAAAAATTCTCAACAGATTTGGACGTTTCTTATGTCAAAAAGATGTATGTAAAATGTTTCACTGGAACCTTG